GTACACCGTATTCTCGTCATCGCTTTCAGCCATTATTAACGCTTTGAACGGCGGGGGGGGGGGGGGTTGGGGGGCTGTGGGGTTGTTGACGTGAAGAGCTGGTCAAAAATGCTGTTTTGGGCACTTTTTGGAAAATTACTACATATTGGTCTTCCCTGGATGAACGTGTTCGTTCGAGTTTTGCAGAGAAGAGAAACGTTGAGTCTGGGACCTCGACCCGGGAAGACCGCTCAAAAACCGCTCAAATCTTGCTTGAAAAACCGTTCAAAAATCAACGCAAGAAATGAGCGGTTTTTTAAGCAAGATTTGAGCGGTTTGAGCGGTTTTTCCAAAAAAACCGCCCAAACCGCCCAAACCGCCCAAACCGCTCAAACCGCTCAAATCTTGCTGGAAAACCGCTCAAACCGCTCAAATCTTGAGCGGTTTTTGAGCGGGATTTCGACCCGGGTCCATTAGAACCAAATCGCTGGGTTCCTGAGAAGGCCAACTTATACCTCTTGCATGACGCGAACAACTGTACTTCGGGAATAAGCATTTTGCCAAAGAGAGGAGCAGAAGTGATCCAGCGAACACCACTGAAATTGACGTAGAGTCTGATCAAAATTGAGGAAACAGACCTTTTTGAACTAAAATTGCCAAACGCCTGCCCAATTTATACTCTATTTAGAATGAACCCTTGATTCATAAAAAGCACTCACTTTCAAGAGGTTTTGAAATAAAAATTAAAGCTAAAAGGGGGAAGGATACCATCACCGTCACTAAAATCAAAAGAAAACAAGAATAGCCTGTTACTGTGCAATCAGCACAGAGTGTTACGACCAAAGTCTTAATAATTTTTTTTTCTAATTAGGGTTGTTTTTTTTCTGCGTGGTGCGATGAAAAGATGTGAACGAAAAACGCGAACTTAGAAATATTCGACAGTCATAGTAAATCAGGCAATTTGGACAACAGTTTTTTTGGAAAATTCACCAGAAAAACTTTCCTCACTTCAAAATTTCAAAAATTTTCAGGAAGTGATCTGCAATAATTTTTCGAATTTATTTTAAGTTTCTAATTTTCAAAAGTCTTGATGAAACTTTTTCTTGAGTAAAACATATTTTAAAGGCTTAAACTGAGCATAAATAAGCTATTGTGAGTGTGCTCGCTCGTTTATTCTTTCAAAATTGGACCCAAAATCAGAAAATTCAGACAAGTTTTTCTCGAAACTGTTTGAATCGCGATTGAAAGGGTTTTTATAAGATATATCATTCGGCCCATTCCGATGATTATTTGCGGTACCTGATTTTCACTGGATATATATAAATCCTAGAAAAAGTCTAATGAAAGTATTATCGGAAACAATTTTTCAATTAAGAACAATTCACTAGCTGATCTTAGCGGAACTACCTTTTGAAACTTATTTTAGCGGAGAGGCGAACACTTCTATTTACCCGCGAAGCTTTTCCGTTGCATGTGAACCTTTTTTCGATTAAGGAATACAGCTAGATCGAAAAAAAAAGACTGTACGTCATCTATGCAGACGATAGAATGGATGTTAGCTATCTCAACTCAAAACTACATAAAACGATATCAATACCTGCAAAAATGAGAATCAAACAAGCCTCCGGAAAATAAAATGGGCAGAGAAAAATTTCATTGAAAAATTCAAAACCGTAACCATCCGAGACGTATTACCAAGTTATGTAAGAAAAAATCAGGGAGAAAATTGAACGGTCCATCCATGCTCGCGTTGCCTTCCATTTGATCTTCAACAAGAGTTTAGCCCCCGATATTTTTAATTCCTCCTTTTTCTTTCGAGTGGATATAATGATATAATTGTTAGTACTACTTGAAGATTATCCGTGGGATGCACCTTGCGCCTCGTTCACCCAACCGACGGATTTCTCATGCTGAGATGATAAGCTGTCATGCTCTGTAAAGTTTTCCCCGTCTGCGTCGTTTTGTGGATGATGGTCACTCGGCCTCTGCCTGCAGCGTTATGTCCGCGACTGGTACGTTCGTAATGTCCCGTTTTTTTCAAAATACACACGTTGCATTTCGCGCTGGGCATATCCCGATGTAGTCAGCTTTGAATCCACTTTGACTGCAATTGATGCATCTTCTGACCAATCCTGTGCCTGTGTACGATCTCCTTCCGCTCCGTTGGTATGGCCTGCAATCTCCCCTCTCGGATTGCGCTTACCGGTTCCGTTTTTAATTGCAATGGCCCCGCCGGCGCTGTGGCGAGACCTCTGCCGCGCCATCCTGTAACTTTTCGCACATTGGTCTACACGCTCGTTTGACAAGGCGATCCGGTACACCTCATCCGGAGTTTTGGTGGAACGACACAATTCCGCCTGCGCTTCCTTATTAGACGTATTAACAATGAATACATCTCTTAGCACTCTGCGCTTCAGGGTCCCCAGAACGCGTACAGTAACCGCGGACACCTCGTCGTCCGTCGAAAGGTCACAGTGGGAGATACGGTTGTGTAATTCATACAGCCCTCGCTCGCCCAGTCAAAGGTACGGGTTTGATGTCAGTGTCTGATCCGCCAGTCGTGATCGTCTTCGAGATTTGAGATCATGATCGTCTTCGCGAAATAAAACGACATGGGATTAAATTGTTTGGCTAATACTGCACAGGTAATACGAGTTATCCAGTGCTCCCACAGCATTGGTGCCTCCGTGTATTTACTCAACCAAAATGCCGTTATTCCTAAGGGGATTTATCCAGTTCCAGCGCTGTATCCTGCTCGCTGCACCATGACAAAAACGTTGTTTTCAATACATTGTTTCAATGTTATAAATCGTCTAACCTTAAAAAATAATCAAAACTCAACATTGTCTTAGAGTTCAACATACAAGATGGCCAAGTTGCATTTACTAATCAAGATGACAGACAATTAGCTCCAAGGGCGTCAATAAACAAAACTCAGACCGACTGTTCAAACTAAATGTTGCACTAAGACCTGCATAAATATCATCTGAAACAATTTTGAAGACGGGGAAGCTACTCAGAGTATGCAAAACAGCAGAGAGGTTAGAAGCAGACAGATTTTTTTCGTAAACAAAAAAATGTGCTTTTTGAACAGTTTGAGTGGTAATGTTTCAACCTCAAGACGACCGTCGTGCTAGAAAAGCAAAAAGTCAAAAAAAGATCGAGAATTAACAGATCGAGATTCCGGCTAATGACTACGATTTAGACAAAATGAATTCAACCCTTTACTCAGTTCGTTAGAAATGGAAACTCAAAAAAATTCCAACGCTTATGCGATAAATTGCCGCAAGAGATTTTTAGCAGGTCTCGCGAATCACCAGCGATTGATGGAAAAAAGAATGAAAAAAGGAGAAACCGTGTCAATTTGAGCAAAATGAGAAAAAATGCAGAAATAATCTCCACTTTGACAACCTCCAGCGACTCTGAAGACGAATACCGGACGGTCAGAGCGCTTAGGAAAACGTTTGGCTAAAACCTTTGTCTTGTCAAAAGAGATGCCGATTCAAGAGCGGGGAACGTGAACCTAAAAGCTAACTCAAGAAGCGGTGGCGTCCCTCATGCTTGAAGGACCGAATGCTTGAAATTTGTTTTAGCTTCTTTTCAGCCAATCAGAGTTGACTATTCAAAATCTCAAAATAAATCGTGAAAATCACCAAGCAAGAAAATAAATCCTTGATGTTTATCTGAATAGTATTGCGGTTGTAATCCTCAGTTTGTAATATTTTTGATTATTTTCCACTGATGTAAAACATTTTCTGTTGATATTGACCTCAATTTTGTGAGAAAGGCATTTAGCCAATACGAACTCTTAGCGATTTTAATTGGTTGAAACTTTTCAAGCATTCAAGCATTCAAACTTTCAAGTATGAGAACCCTCCCCTCAAGAAGCCTGATAGACAAATACTTGCCTTCAATTTCGATTTCAGTTGCAAAAGTGAACGAAGATGAAAATGTAGCCAATGATAAAATAGGATAGAATATTTCAGAATTAGCAGAAGATAAGACAAAACTGGGTAACGAATCCTTTAAAAACTAAAACTTGCGGTAATCTGCGTAGGACTAAATTTGGACAATCTCCCTCCTGAATCAAATTAAAGAGGCACTTGCAGTTTTGCGACTAAAATTCCGTCGTCGAGAAGGAATTTTAAGTCAAGCACAAAGTCGAAATATACCCGAATTTGGTTGAGAAAGTCGAAACATGGATCTCGCAAAGTCGAAATATAGGCATTTTGAGGTCGATCACTTGGTTAAAAGTATTATTTTCAGCCAATCAACTTTGAGCATAGTGCATGCAGGCCTTACTGTTTGAATTGTCCATTTAAATTTAGGGAGAGATTGTTCACTTGGTCTATTCTGTTCAGGGGAAAGAATGTTTGCATACGCTCTAAACTTCTTTCAACTTCGTTTAATTTTTTTGGCTTAGTTAGTACTTAAGGCAAAAGTTAATTGAAATAGGCCAATTTATCCTATTTTGTAGCTTCACATACCTGAGTGCTATTCGGGATCTACCTCAGTGATTTTTCTACCAAATTTTTATGTACATTTGCATAGAGAATATTATAACTTTTTCGCAATTTTCTTTTCTTTTTAGTTAGTTGGTGCTATATGAGTAAAGGAGTGAAACGTCCATTATGCTAAGGGGAGCACCAGTGTGTGCTTTTTTCAATTAAACTAACATTTTTAAGTCGGTTTCGTTGTTGTTGATTGACCTTTCGATATTCAATAACGAAGATAACATCTGAATTCATGTTACTTCTTAAATTTGTTTTGTTTCTAGGCTAATTTTAGTTTAGACTTCTTATTTAATTTTATTTTATTTTGACTAAATTAGCTGTAGCATATGACTAGTGTATCAAAACTGGTCTTTTCTTATGGCATCTTTGACGTAAAATATACTGATTCTTTGAGGAAGTGTGAGGGTGGAGAGAACGCTTGGAAACTCAATTTGGAAAACTCGGAAACTGAATTTTGTAGATTAAAAAAAGAGGCCGACAAAAATTTTAGAAGAAATTGAAATTCACCGGTGATTCTATGAAAGACTCCTCCGATGTTTGGGCGCTGAAGTCAGTGGCATCGTCTTGACCACTTGGCTTCCGTTGACATGTCCCCTTCTTTCTCGGGGCCGCAACGGGTTCTGCCACTATTTCATGTTCATTTTCTCCGGAGTTGATATTCACGTTCTGAAAAGATACTGCTTTTGTTTCATCTTTCCGCTCGGTCAGTTGTTTCAAAGCTGCATTGTGGTCATTTGCCGTTTGTTCAATAGCACTCAGCTGAGTTCTCACTTTCTTCACAAGTTCGGAAGCATCGCTGCTCGAATCTGTCTGAAAAGACTCAAAGTTATATGCACTGACCCCAATTGACGGTGAATTAATAGATTTGACTCTGATCCAGCTTGCGAAGTCGTCTTGATCCAATGATGGACTCCAAGCACTTGTGTTCAGTCCAAGCACTTCGAAATCATGCGTCTCGTCAATCGACCCTGGCGAACTATCGTGAGAATGCAAGTTCGAGGTTAATCTTTTCATTTTATTCTCCGATTCCGATGGTGTAAGCTCTGTGGAACCAAAAGCACTTGAGTTTCTTTCTTCATAGTTTGGAACACTTAAGTTAGCTGCTGGATGAGAATACTGCGAACTCGAAGTGCTGTTTGAAGGCACGTCAGCCATTTCTTCTCAATTGTTCGTCGTCAATAACTGTAACATACACGAACTTTCACATCCAACTTGATCAGTAGAAAACTACGAATTATGAAAAGTGCTATCTAAGAACTGAGAGTAAATCAAGTATTATGAACTTTGGTGGTCTACGTCAACAGAATATTCTATGCCCATAAATTTTGCTTAGTGGCTTAATGTAACACAAGCAATTATACCTAAATATAAATATAACTTTTTTGTGTCAAAACTTTCCATTATAATCGACTCTCAATCATGATAGGTTTTGTTTGAGAAACGTATAATGAATTGTTGAATTTTGTTCTAATTTATCTCAATTCCTGTTTAAGGCAGTTGATACGTATTTTGTTTCAAGGTTTTTTACATTTCATTTTTAACTTTTCGTATTAATTTTTGAACGTATTTTTCTTACTTTTGCAGTTCTCAATTCATGAAAGTTTAATTTTCATTTGATTTTCTGTTTAACAAAGTCGTTTTCGCTTACCTCCCCCCCCCCTCCTTCACATCTAAGTTAATGGTTGAACGGGGGGTAATTGTTGAACGGAGAGAAGTGTAATGGTTGAACGAAGGGAGGACTTTACGAGTTGATACCAATCGTTGAATTCCGGGTTGATGAAATGAGTGGGTTGGTTGGGTATAGAGGTGGGGTCGATGAACTGGGGGAGCGTGAAGGGTTGAAGGATACGGGTTAGAAAACTGGGGGAAATGAAAACACAGGGGTGCGGTCTGTTGAACATATTCGACTTTCTTTATTTCTTCAAAACAATCAAACTAAGTTCTGGAGAACCCCCCCCCTCAGGGATTCGACCCCCTGCCGACCCAAAGGGTCCCTCTTTGATACTTTTTCAGAAATCCATTTTTGGCAGACCGACCCTAAAATTTTTCTAAAGGCGCCTTGGGCGCCAATACACACTAACTTTGAGGGGGAGCGCGCGCCAAAAAAAACGCGATTTTTTTTGTCAAACTTTTTCAAAAAGTGCCCAAAAACGGCTTCTTTGACTGTTTTTTCAAAAATGTGCCTGCGGCGCAGAAAATTTAGCCAAAATAGGGGCAAAACAGTTTGTTGGGAATTCTCGAACATTTTTTCAAAATCCGCCCCCCCCCCCCCCCCCTCGAAAAAATCCTAGATCCGCCCCTGCTTCATAAATAATCTTTTTTAATGGTTTTTATTGACAAAATTAGTAAATTTTAGGGACAACAAAGCAGATTGCATTCGATTATGATGAATTATAATTTTTTAAAATAGTCTGTTCTTATGGCAAAATAGTTGATTTCGTGATCTGAATTTTACATCTGACTTGGATTACAAGGGATTAATTTTGTCTCCGAAATCCGATGGGCATCCAGTGAGGGGCTTCTTAACTAACTTTTACAAAAAATGCCACTTTAATTTATTATATTTAAACTTTGGGACTAAGAAAACTTTGTTATCCATTGCAACCCACTTTTTTTCAAAAAGTTTGAATCAAATAAACTCCAATTAAAGTTCTTTACAGTCGTTTATTATCCATAAAAACTCATTGCGAGGCTCTTATGGTCATCATAACTATCTGCAAAGAAAATTATGTTTTTCATTTTTGTTCATGATTGAACCATTTAATTTAAAATTCCTTACGCATTTATGTTGAAATATCGTGATTTTCAATTATCCCGCTTTTGGTGTAATCTTTTGTGAAACACAGACTTAATAAGTGTGTGAAAACAAGTTGAATTGATATGAAGATTTCAAAAATTCCAAACAAAGGCTATTGAATCAGTGAAGCCCTTCAACCCCCCAGTGGTAACAGTGAGTTAGAACCGACGTGGTTAACTCAACGAGTAATTTCGGAAAGGGTACACCGTCTGCTCGTCACGCTATCGTATTTTCGGCCGGATAGATTCGTGCAACTTCTTAGTCTAATACCGATCCTAATCTTACTCTTATATCTACTAGTCTCAGGGTGTTTAACTAGTCTCTGGTAGGCTCAATAGATCTAGAGTATACTGGCTTATTGCGGCAGCTGAAGTTCTCTTGGAGAGGCAACTAATTTCTAAGTTAAATTCAAATCTCTCTGGTGCTGAAATTACAAGTCATTTCAGCACTTAGAAATAAGTGGGTTGTTAGTTAGATGGATTATGATTGGTTAATACTGAATACTTTACAGTGGTAAAATATCTAATTTATCCAATAATAAAATGTAGTTTAGATCAGGTTCCACCCATCCGGGGTTTACAGAGTTTTTTAGAACTATCTTTCTTCTCTGCAATTTGAAGGATGGATGATGAACATTGGTATTTGGCGAACATCATTTTCTTATCCGGTTCCTCTTGGAGAAGAACGTTCCAGGACGCTGGAAATATGGATAGGAAATTGTTATGTCGTCATTCGACAACGACTGTGATCCCCAATCAAATCAATCCGATTTCGAAATGGTTTGCAATGACAGCTTTTTCTGCATTATGTAGAGAACTTATTTTGTGTGCAACATCGTCTGGGAATGGCGTGAAGATCGTGTGTGGAAGGGATGCCTTGTAACTCGGATCTGTATGTATACTTGATCATCGAGGTGGTCATTGTTCTAATTCAATGAAGTCCTTTTCTGCGAAGTCAAGTCGTACTCTAAATCCTTTGAGTTTGATTGTGGATGGCATGTCGGTTGTGTTTTAGCCATTCTTTTTGTTCGTGTGTGATGGGATCATCTAGTCTTTGGATGTTCGTCTTTGTTATTGTGTATGATCTATATACTGCAAAGTATGATTTACCTTTTAAAAAATTATGTTAATTCGATTTTTTAATCATGAATTTAGTTAGTTGTTTTCACAAAAGCGTTTTGTTTTAGTTCGGTTATTTTGAAGAGTTACTCACCCTTGAGTACCTCTTATTAAAAAAAGAAGTATGGTCACAAAGCGTGGATGTAGCGCGGTGGGTTAGGCCGGCTATAGAGCATGCTCAGGACGTCCTCTCTGGTGGGTTAGGCCAGGAGTGGGAGTATGATTTCATGCTGTTTCTTTGAGAGGTCCTGTTATGTGATAACGTTTTATGTTGGGTTTATGTTGATCTCTCTTATGTTACTTCGGTTGTGTCCTTTTTTCAAAAATCAAATTGTTTTTGGTATGGGTTTGTCTTGCGACTTTTTTGTGTTTTATTATTTCTTTCTTAGACTTTATAATAGTCTTCAAAAGAATAAATTATCCAGTTTTAAGCTGGGTTAATCCGGTTTGGGTACCGTTGGTTTTCTTTTCTTAGTCATGCTGTTATTTTATAATTTTTGGTGTTTAGTGAGCTATGTTGCTTAGTTTGGTTTAGTATATAATTCCTTTCCAACCGGGTTAAAGGAAAGTTTGAAACTTGTTATCGTGTGTTAGAGTTGATTATAGCGAAAACTTGAAACTTAAAATCATTTTTTAAACAATTCTTCGTGGGCGAGCTGTGTGAGTTTGGATAGAATTCTTGTGCGAGTGACTAAAAATATTTGAAAAGGTTAGTACTGCTTTCTCATTTTATCAATTTATTGCATAGAATTTGAATTTTACTGCGTTTTGGGGAAATTTAAAATTATAAATTTTCATCGTATTTAATTTTACTGCTTCGTGGGGAAATAATTTATAAATGAAATTACTACATTTGGTAGGAATTTTACTACATTATTTAGTGCAAGAAGTTAATGAATTTGAATATAATTTAACAAGTTTGTATTTTTATTTTTCTTTTCTGTTTTGTAGGTGATTGTGGTGTGAAGACTAGAAATATAAATCAAACATTGATAAAAAATTGTTAGTACTAATTTAAATTTATTAGTTAAGAGTAATTCAAATTATACTTACCTGTTAATCATCTGGGAAAAAGCCGTGGGGGAAGATGTCGTGTATCATATCTGATGTTGTTAGTAATTTGGCTGGTATGCGTTTGATGTTTTTAGTTTGTAGCAGTGGCCAAAGCAATTGAAGTGCTTTAATGATGTTTAGTTCTTCGGTGCCTACTGCAAACTCGTGAGGTGTGTTTTGAACGAGGTTATATACTTTATGATTATATTTATCATTGTGAATGAATTCTAATATGGGTATTTCAATAGGTGTGATAAATTCATGCGGGATAAGGAAGGGTCTGGATTCTTCGGCATTGAAGGTCTTCGTGATGGTCATAGTTACGGAGGATGTCGTGGAGGTTAGTATCTTTGATGCAATATGTAAACTTTAGGAAAAATGGTGACGTGTACTTTGAGTTAAGACACTGAAAACGATGGTGGGGTTCTCTTGATTGGGTGTGCAAATCAAAATGATTCTGTATAAAACGATAGTATGGATATGTGTGCGTTTGTTTAGTGCGTAACATAATATCGTGGGAACAGTGCAAATTGCGTTCCTGTGGTGAAAGAAAGTGGGAGGTTAGTGAGAATAACTGAAATTTATCATAAAAGCTCTCGTATGCTTGAATATCAGCTAGTGATTCTGAAATAATGTGGTCATTCTTTCTATCAAAAATATTAAGTGTGAATACGTATGATGTTTTGATGAAAAAAATTTCTGTTAGTTGCGGGTTTGCGAAGCGGCCTTCATCTAAAAATTGATCTTGATTAGGTCGGATGATATTACGATCGTAATATTCTATTGCAAATTCGTTAGCTCGGGGTGTAGTGAATGTTTTTAGTAACTTTTTATATCCAACGTAAGTAAATTGTCGAGGTGTTAGTGTTGTGGTGAGTCTATATAACATGTCTTTGTTCTTTTCTATGCTGTCATGAGTATTCGTTAGTGGTAGGCAAAGGGTTAGTTAAATTATAATAAGCTGTCCAATGAAGTGTTGGCATTAAAACATGTTCATCTTCAAAATTGCGTGTGTCATTAGTATCGTTAGGTGTGTTTGATGTATATTGCGGAAATGAGGGTAAGGTGATTTGAAGAAAGTTTTTCGTGTTGGTGTGTTGCGGGTGATTAATATATTCGCGGGCTGTTCCGGGTTTGGTTGGGAATGGGTGATTTGGAAATTTTCGTTTAAAAGTGCGATAAGCTCTGTGAGTGCTAGTTGGCGTTTCGGTGGA